TTATTTGATAATTTCACGATTATTTTTTGTAATTCAGCGCCATTGGGTTCTTCATAAATCTAAATGGGATTATTTGCTTGTCGTTTGATTTGCTCTTCAGATGAAATACTTTTTAAACGCGTAATTGGTCGTCTAGATCCAGGTAATAAACCGCCAACTGGAGTTACAACTTTAATTCGGCTCATATAATGAAAAGTATTTTTTCCATCGATAGTGTTAATATCAAAATTACAATTATCACCAGAAAATTTGATAAAAGTGCCAGGCGCTATTTCCATATATAGGATTATCGAAAATCTCTTAAATTTCATACAATTTTGCTTCATAATAAGATGAGCAAAATCCAAAACTATTATATATATCTACAATATAATTTTTTTTGAACCAAATTTTCCGTGTAGAGTAATTGCAAGACTCAGTTGCAGAAAAGACAAAAATAACTTTGGACGTACAGCTGCAATATTAAATAACTGGCGAGTTTTTGAACAGTACTTATATCTTCATCACTCTTCTGTTAATAATTTTTACAGCTAACGTTCTTTTACTGTCTAATTATTTTTAATGTATAATCAACACTTTGTTATCTTTATTAAAAGATCATTATGAGTTAAACAGCTGAAGGAATGCATACATTCAACAAACTCGTAAAATTTAATATTATCAATGTATTAATGTCTAGTTTATTATTTTACTAGCACATTTTAGCACTTTATTATTACACAATGGAATATATAAATATGTACAAAAAATCAAATAATTAAGAATAGAAAAAGCAATGCGCCGCGAATGTGAGAAAGCAATGTACGTAAGACAAGAGAAAAAAATAAATCTGTTGTAAAAATTAAACAAATTGTGAATTAATTGAATATAGGAAAAAAAATCAAAGGTACCCCGAATGTCTCTTTTATTGATGTTACTTTGCAGCAGTTGCCGGACATCAGATTCTCCTTTGCGAAGCAATATGTTGGAACGTGGTTTACATTGTTTCGTACATACCTCATTATGCTCGCCATGTCGACGCCATATCAGCTTGAGCGACGAAAGTAAAAGAGAAAAAATTAAATAAAGTGACACGTCTGATAAAATCGTAGTAAAATTTTTGATTTTAGAAAATAAAAGTGAATGTATGGATACCAATCAATTTCTGAATATCTGAAAAAGTTCGAGGTATAACAACCGATTAAGTTAGGCAACTATAAGTGATAATTCGGAAAAAATTATCATTTTATGAGATCATATTATTTGTTATATTGACTAGTATAATAATTCAACACACGCATCCTTTTTACAAGTTCCAAATTCTTTATTACAATGTAATAGAATGATAGCCACGACGATATCATACAAAATTCAAATTTTTCCTAAAATTAAACTAAACTGATATCCTAATATATATTACATAATCGCAATATAGTTACAGAGATAATAATATTATTTCTTAACGATAATTTAATGTCATTTAAAAATTGTATAATTATAGGTAACATTTAAATCACGTTGTAAGTGATCACACATACATATATATTCTAATTAATATATTTATAGTTTAATACTTTGTACGCATTTAAAAAAAAAAAAAGATAATAAGAAAACTGATTGTATATATATATATATGATATTTGGTCTCGTGGCGTGAATTTTTTTCAAACTTATTTATAACGTTAGAAAAAGCAAGAAACGCTGTTTTTATGGACAAAAAAATTAATTATTGTGAAATCATTATGTGATTCATCTAATATTAACTTTTTAGGCAACTCCTTAGACATTGATTTTTTAACCAAGTTGTGTATCTTGATGTGATTATTTATATTTATACAGTTAGATGCCTTAGATTGTTCGTCGTTTGATGATATAATGCGAAAATCTTTTGTATTATTAGATGCCTTAAATTGTTCGTCGTTTGATGATATAATGCGAAAATCTTTCGTATCATTATTTTCATCGTCAGAATCTCTTATACTAAAGTCCATATAATCGGAAAAATTATATATTTCATCGTTATTTTGCAATTTTACTTTCCTACTTGAATCGATTTGTTTTGCATTATCTTCATCTGTGCCGGATGTGAAAGTGCTCGGTTCAAAATCAAATTTTCGATTAAAATTCAACGTTTTCAATTTTTCCAACAATGGAACTTTCGTAGATGTCCTCGACTGCCTAATTTACAGATAATTTCTCGACTGTGATCTGATATCCAAAGCCTCGGTATCCGGAAACTTGGCATTTAGAGACTTAGCTGTAGAATTGTTGTTATGTAAAGATTTAGCCGCCAACGATTTACTACATATCTTTTGCAGAAACACTCTTTTGCTACTTGGAACGTTACACAAGAACTTGACGGTCGTATTTTCGATATCTTTGCTTTTTACCGTGGATACTTTATGCGTTCTCTTCGCACGCGAAATCAAATTATTTCTACATCGTAATTTATTTACATGGTTTACGTCGTTTCCCACATTAAATTTACTAATAGACTTGGAAAATTTGATATTATCAGCGGTCATATAATATACCACGTCTGACATACCCACTTGTGCTAGTCTTTCATTCACTAACTAATCGTTTATATGCACATCCTCTCCTTCGGTTGTATCGGTCAAAATGACCATCATGGAATTGTGCTGTAAAGAAAACAATTAGATAAATAATTTTATAATATTTTTACACGTTTACAATATTAAGTTGCACAATGTTAAACTAAAAATATTAGATATAAGTAATTTTCTATTGTTTTTTTAATATCGAAAATTAAAATAAAAAAATAAAGATATCAAATAGAAATAATTGTAAAAATATTACAAACAAAAACAAAAATATTAACAAAATTATCAAATATATAATTTAGATTTGAGAATTAAAACATTTTAATGTTTTAACTTTTAGAAATAGAATAAATAATTTTACCTCAGAATCAATAGTAATTATGGTTGCAGTTAAAAAAATATCCTCAACTTTTTCGTAGAATTTTTCAGCTACGCTCCTTTTCCAGTGATCACCAACACTTGGTTTAATCTTAAATAAGCCGCAAGGTATTGCTTAAGCCGGTAAAAAGGCAAACTGTTTATGCAAATAATATATATCCTCGGATGTATATGTCTCCATGGTACCGTAATCATAAAAGAATACCTGTTTTAAAAAATAATTATTGCATATTAAAATATACGTTTTAAAAATTATCGACATTATTTGTCGAAAACTTTGTTATTTATTACTTTAGTGCAATTTATACTACATTTATACTAACCGTTACTTTAAAATCTGACTGTACACTCCTAATGATCGCTCGATGCCACCTATTGCCGTAAATACACGCACAATTTAGGTCCTTTTTCAAAGCAAGTTTGGCAATGATAAATTTACTTTTGTTACACTCGTAAAAATCCCTAAAAGCAATACAATTTCGATAATTCAAATTTTACTGTCAATATTAATAAAAAAAATTGTAAAAATTGGCTAATTGCACATGTACTTACGATAGTTTATCCATCATTTGTTCAAAATCTCTTTTATTTTCTTGAAGATGTATCCAAAAAAAGCTTGGATGAAACACTTCTACAACGTATACCCCCAAGTATTTTCTGCTGTGTTTCAATTCAACCACCGATATTTCGTCAACTTTATCGTCTGACGTCATCACGTCATTTTGAGGAAAGTTCCTGATACGGGTAGAAGACTGTAAACATACATAGATTATTATAATAATTGAATTTTCAT